GTTAAATAGGAAAATAAATTACCAGAAGGAGGAGCAGGGGGAAGGGAAGGGAAGGGAAGGTTCCGGGAAGGTTCCGGGAAGGGAAGGGAAGGTTCCGGGAAGGTTCCGGGAAGGGAAGGGAAGGGAAGGGAAGGGAAGGGAAGGGAAGGGAAGGGAAGGGAAGGGAAGGGAAGGGAAGGTTCCGGGAAGGGAAGGGAAGGGAAGGGAAGGGAAGGGAAGGGAAGGGAAGGGAAAGACCTCGGGATGCAGACGGTGCAGCCAAACACAGGGCAGCTCCTTTGGACCCCTAAAGAGCCCAGAGTGGGCAGAGATCTCCTCTGGAAGCTCCAGGGTTGGCAGCAAAGTTGGGAAGCTGTTGGGGGAAATTTGGATATGTAAACATGCAAAAATCCAAGGAAACAGAAGATTCCACAGTCTCCGTCTTTTTCCTTGTACAACACCCAAAGGCAAGGCAGGATATTTTTAATTAAATGGTTTTTGGGAGTCAGGAACATGGAAATGGTAAGGTGAAGAGCCTGGATCACCCAAAATGAGTTGGAGCATCCAGCTGCTCTTCAAGCTCCTGCAGTGCTGCAGGATCTCTCCAAGGACCTACACACCAGCCATGGGTGGGAAAGATTCCTGACAGTCCGGGTTTGTGGTGGGACATCATCCCACTCTGAGAAACTCCAGGAAATACTCTAGGAATTACAGCCTTTATCCTGGTTTGCCACTGAGTTTACCTGCAGGCACTCAATAACCACAGAACCACCTAATCCCAAATGTCCCACCAGGTTGGAAGCTGAGACTGGATTCAAAATCACAGAATCCTGGAATGGTTCGGGTGGGAAGAGACATTAAATCCTATCCATTCCCACCTTGCCCTGGGCAGGACACTTCCCACTATCCCAGGTGGATCCAAGCCCCAATGTCCAACCTGGCCTTGGACACTTCCAGGGATCCAGAGGACAGCCACAGCAAATCTGGGAATTCCATTCCAGGGTCTCACCACCCTCACAGGGAAGAATTCCTTCCCGATATTCCATGTAAATCTCCCCAAAGCCAAAAGGTAGACAAGGAACATGAAGTAGCCTTAATTTTTTTGGTCCTATTCGTGTCTCTCTCCTGGTCCCCGTGCCCGGGATCCGAGACTTTCCCAGATCCTTGATGGAAAGCAGAGCCGTGGCCCGGCCGCGATCGGAGCGCGCGGCTCCAAACTGGAACGAACGAGACCAAAAAAAAAAAAACTAAAAAAAAAAAAATATGGACATATTTCATCCTCCTCTTTTGTGGGTTTTATTTTCTTTTGTATTCGCTTTGGGAATAACATTCTTTCCATTGGGAAGAGCCTGATTTTCCATTAAATACAAAGCAGCTGCCATCTTGGAAACAAAAAGCTGATTAAATACAGATTCTTTTTTTCATTTTTTCCCCTCACTTATGAAGAGCAAGAACCACGTTTGTTTCTGCTGATTTATCGGGGCAAAGCTGCCAATTACGGCAGCAGGAAAACTTAAAGAGAGGGACTTGAATCGCTCCATCCTCCCGAAATAATTTTGTAATTACAATTCGATGACGGAGAAAAAAAGGAAAGATCCAGAAGTTTGGAGCGCTCGTCCTCCCTCTGGGATGGCGACCCCAGGGGTTCCTCACCCTCTGCACACACGGGGATGCTCCAGATCCCCCATTTACGCAGATTCCCACCCTTTGGGATGCTGGGGGAAGGCTCGGCACACCGGGGTGACGCGCGGGGCCCGGAGGAGACGCAACCACTGCCCCACTGCAGCCCAGATGTTGAACAGACTGGAAAAAAGGATGAGCTCCAAGGAAAAACCCCAACCCACCCACTCCATTGCTGCTCCATGAGCCAGCAAAGCTCGGTCCAAGAGGTCTTTCCAAGCAGAGACGAGTGACCAACAGGAGCGGCATCTGAACCTTCAGCTCAATTTTGTCTTTTCCCAAAAACTGAATCATAGCTAAAATTTCCATTTCTAAACTGAGGTGTTAGACCTAAAAACCAGGCAGAAGATGGATGAAACAGAGAGATGGGGAAAACTGTAGGAATTAGTGACTGGTTTTCAATTTACCCATCAGATTCTCCTGATTTCTTGCCCTTCATGAAACCCAACAAAAAACTCCAGAGGATTATGAGAATTCCATAGGGATCTTCACTTTGAGAAGTTTTTCCCGCTCCTGCCATTCCATCTACCCAAAGCTGTAAGATCCAGGGAAAACATTTGTGGAAAGGGACCCTGTGATGGTCACAAAAACATCTTCACCCACACTGGTGGCATCAGCCATGGCTGGTGGCTCCATTCTGAGCACACAACTTCTCTGTGCACCCTCAACTCAAGTGTCCCCTGCACAGGGACCCCCCAAAGGTTTGGGCTCCTCCAGGGCAGCTGGGGCTCCTCCCCAGCTGGATGGGTTAAGGAAGGTGTGGAGATCTTTGGAAACTGCTCATGGACATCCCTTTCCACATTCCCAACTTGGAACAGCAGTGGGTGAAACAAGAGGAAAGCAGGAAATTGCAAATCCTGCAATTTCCCCTAAATTTCCTAAAGGGTAGAAGAATCCCCACCCAAACTTTATCTCCTGGTAGGATTTTTGGAAGGTTCAGGCTGAGGCTCTGGAGCAGGAAGGAGAAGGCAGGTTTGGATTCCATACACCAGGGCTGGAATTTTGGCTGCCAGATTCCCTGTGCCACACATTCCTTATGGATGGAGGTGCAGGCAAGAGAAAGCATCCAACACCTTCCTCAACCCTGGTTTGGAAAACAAAATTCCAAGCCAACCATGCCGAGGTGACTCCACAAAGGGAAAGATCCCTAAGGAAGCATGCCTTGGTTGAAAGGATTTATGGCTTTGGGAATTTTGGCTTCCATTAATTTTCCAGCTGTTAAATGCAGACAAGGAAACCTTGGAATTCCAGATAACCTGGCTTAGCCAGACTCGAGTTTACAGAGTTCCCAGGTTAATCAGGGGTCAGCCAGACTGCCCCATCCAGCACTACCAAATCCATGGGATTTGGACACTTTGCTCCTTGTTTTAAAGCACCACCAGCTCCTGTTTCAACCCCTCATTCCTGACAAATATTTGGGATTCTGGAAGCACTTGGGAAACCAGGAATGGGCTGCTCCATCCATGAGTCCATCCTCTCCCCTTCAAGGCATCCCTGCTTTACAGGAATTTTGCTGAACATTCATTCAGGCCATGCAATCCCCTAAAAGACTTGGATCACCTCTGGAGTGGAAAGCCCCAGACACGGAAGATTCTGGATGCTGCTCATGCCCTGTCCATGTCCACATCCCACTTTTTTTACCTTTTAAACTTCCAGGATTAGCCACAACAACTTCCCACCAGACAAATTAAACTCTGCTAAAACTCCTCCTTTGTCCTGCTACTTTGCACGATCCCATTTTTATTTTTCCTCCTCTTCTGTGATTTATCCCTGCCAATTAATCCCAACAAGGCAGAGAACAGAAAATTAGGAGGGATAAAAGGAAGGAAAACTGGGATTTGTTGCCGTTAAGAACAAGCCTGACTAAGAGCAGTCTGGCAAAGCCCCTCCATATAAAGGGATTACTCCATCCCTGACCCTTTCCAGGGGAGCTCCAGGTATTATTTTCCATTGATTTACCTTAATGAAAGTAATGCCCCCCTCTCCGTAGGAAGCTGACTCCAGAGCTGTCTAGGCACTGGATCCAATTAAAGAAATAAATACATCTGGCTTCTAAACAGCTCCAAGCCTGGAAAAGCCAGGGGGAAAAGAGCTTTTTGCATCTCTCCCTCTTGGGCTACACCCTGAGGACAGCACAGAGGATGCCTGACATCCAACACCGCTCCTGGAATCCCCTGGCTGCAGGGAATGCCTGGAGCATCCCGGCTTTGATGGGAGCCAGTCTGGGACGGCTTTAACGAGGCTCCCTCTCTCCAGGAGCTGCTGTTGATTTAAGGCCTCAGTGTTGACTTAGAAACCCCCACCAGGTGCCTGGAGCCTGCAGATAGTCCAGGCTTAGCCAGGCTCGGTTTCCAGGGAAAGGGGCACAAGCATCCCGCTGGAGCAGGGAATATCGGCCAGGATTCCCATGAAGAGCAGGGAATAAAGGCTGGAAAGCAGAAGCAGGGTCCAGGCTCTGACTGTGACAACCCCACAGAATTCCCAGGTGGGTTTTGCTCCTGTGGGCCTGGGTTTGCAGCCGTGGGAATAGAGGAAACAAGGTGGCTGCAGAGCACTTTGTTTGCCGTCCATCCCTGGAAATGCCACGGGCTTTCCTCCTGCACATGGAACAAGCAGAGATGACAACAATCACAGGGGGTTGCTGAACCAGAAGGAAGGTCTGAAATGTCTCCTTGACTTTACTTTGGTGCTAATTTGGCCAAATCCAAACTGGGAGATGGTACGTGTCAAGAATGTACATTATTTTCTGGAGAAAAACGTGGAATCCCGGGGTAGTTTGGGATGGAAGGGACCTTAAAAATGATCCAGTTCCACTCCCTGTTGTGGCAGGGACATCTTCCACCATCCATCCCAGGCTGCTCCAAGCCCCATCCAGCCTGGCTTTGGACACTCCCCCTCCAGTCTGAGGCAAGGCTTAGTGGTCCAATCCTCAAACCAGGAGGAATTTCCAGCTGGAATCCCCATGGGGAATTTCTCCGAACAAGGAACACGGATTTTACAAATATCTTTTCTCTTTGGAGCAGAGTGTGAGAATCTCATCCAGGTTTCCCTAATATCAGGCATTCCCCCTAATTCCCTGAAGATTCAGGTACTCCAGGGTGATAAAAGAAGCCACTTCAATGCACTAAAATCAACAATTTAGTGACCCCTTGGGAAGGAAACCCTTTCCTTTGGTCTCTGATTTATCCCAGAATTATGTATCCCATCGATCCCAACTTTCAATCCATCTTTTCCTTTCCCCCAGGCTGACACAAGGGATCTTTTCTGGTTCAGCTCCCCCCTGAGCCTGGAGGTGTGAGCAGAGCAGAGCCAAGGCGCAGGACACAGCGTCCGGTACTCACCGACATGGTGGAGTGGACATCCACCTGCCCCTACAGAGGACAACACAGCAGGTCAGGGTCAAAGGCAGAACAGGGCAGAGCAACAGGACAAAGGCAGAAAAGAGCCCAAAGGCCACCAGAGGTGCCCACAACCCCCTCAATACTCCAACAGCAGCTCCAACATCAGCAAAGGATTGGGAAAGAAAATGGGAGCTCCTGGGAGGAGGAGGAAGAGGAGGAGAAAAAAGTACCACAAGAGCAGTTTTAGTGTCATTCTGTCACAGATTGCTGAAATGGGTCGGGTTGGAAGGGACCTCAAAGAGCATCCTGATTCAAACATCTCTCACTATCTCAGGGTGCTCCAAGCCCCAGTGTCCAACCTGGCCTTGGGCACTGCCAGGGATCCAGGGGCAGCCACAGCAAATCTGGCAATTCCAGCCCAGCCCCTGCCCACCCTCCCAGCCAGCAATTCCTTGCCAAGATCCCAGCCCAATCTCCCCTTTCCCAGTGGAAGCCATTCCCTGGCTCCTGTCCCTCCTCTCCTTGTCCCTCTCCAGCTCTCCTGTCTGCTCTGCACGTCTCCATCCCTGTTCCTCAGCAATCCCACCTGCAAGAGGTGATGGATGCCAAACCTTGGGATCAGCTCCAGCAGGGCTTGCTCAGCTCTACCAAAGGCCAGGGGAGTTATTTAAGCACAGACTGGACTTGTGCAAACCCAGAGGTGACTCTGGTGCTCCTGAGATGTTTTCCTGATGGTTATTTTCCACTTGGGTCCCTCCCAAGGCGGCTGAGGCTGTGGTTGGTGCAAAGTTCATGGCATTTCACTTCCATGCACAGGGCCTTGGCTTATAAATATTCCAGAGGGATTTGACTTTTCAAATAAAAACACAGGCAATCGTTCTCTTTGGAAAGAAAATAAACACTTGCAAAGCTCTTTCTACCAGAGCAAGAGCTGCCGGGGCCGTTCGTTTGCGAGGGGGAAGAGATGCCAAGAGAAGGCAAAAAACCATCACAGCTCCAGCTGAAATCTGTGCCTGCCATCTGGCAAAAATAAGCAGAAAAGGGGAAAAAAAATAGGGGAAAAAAAAATTCCCTCTGCAGAGGGTTCACACTGAAGTGCTCAGCAGCAGAGGTTGGATTTGTTGGATCGCTGAAAGATTGCTTCCCCTTCCCAGGTCAGCCTCACCTCTTGACCTGCCCTGATTCCCTTCCAAAGGAGGTTATCGAGATACAAGACTAACAGAGGATTAAAGGAAACTGAAAATAAAAACAAAACACCCCCCCCTTCCCCCAGCCCCGCTCCCCTCCCCCAAGAAAACATCCTTGCTTTGTTAACCTGACAGTTCAGGGGAGGTGTTGACACAACTCTCCATCTCTGAGGAGCTTAATGTCAACAAATCAGTGTGTTTGGAGTAGCCCTGTCAATGCCATTTACATTAACTTGTCCAACAAGAAATAAAAACAACAATCAGCCATCAAAGACAAAAGGCTTTTTCAGTCATTCTTTGCAAAGTCTTAGGCTGGAAATGTTCATTTTTGGAGGCCGTGGCCCTTTGCTTGCTGAAAACCAGAAACCACCTTTTTTTGGTTTTCTTTTTCTTAAGGCCTAAAATACTTTTAGTACTAAAATATTTTTTTTTTACCTTTAAAAAAAGAGGTTTTTCTTTTAAAGGAGACCCGAGCATCCCATATTAATGAGCTCCACAGCAGCAGCAGCAGGAACCGACTCTCCCTGGTTAACGCAGGAAGAGGGCGGCCTCGGGAGCCAAATGTTAATTATGCTTTGATTCCCATCAGCGTTTTATTTGCTCGGAGACATTTTTGGGCACTTAGTGGAGCATTCTGGAATTGTGGCTCCAAACCACCATGACTGTTTCATGCAGCACTGGCATGCACCAAAACCCCGGGAAGTTCTCTGTGAACTTTTCCTGCCCCCCGGCACACGCTGTCCCCACGACACTGGTGAGGGCTCAGCGTCCCCCAGAAAACTGCAACGTGCAAATAAATTCCAGGAATTCCCAAAATCAAGTGGTTTTCATCATCTCCCACAATGCCCACTCCAAAGGAAAAAAAAAATGGGATTGCAAGGCCTGGAAAAAGTGGAGGCTCTTTAGGGTGCTGCACCAGCCAGGATTTTGGGATTATTTTGGGGGTTTTTTTGCCAGGTCACCACAGAGGTGGTCGAGGCCTCATCTCTGGAAAAATCCAAGGCCATGGCTCTGGAGAGCTTGATCCAGTTGAAGATGTCTCCCAGAAAACAGCAATGGGCAAATAAATCCCAGCAATTCCCAGTTTCCATCATCTCCCACAATCCCTACTCCAAAGGAAAAATTAGGAACTCAAATTCCTGCTTGACCTCCAGAGAAAATGGAGACCCTTTGGCTTATGAATCAGGATTTTGGCTGTGTCAGTTTTGCTGCTTGAACTAGGTGCTCACAGAGGTGGTAGAGGCCTCACCCTGGAAAAATCCAAGGCCATGGCTCTGGACTTGATCCAATTGAAGAAGTCTCCCAGAAAACTGCAATGTGCAAATATATTCCAGGGATTCCCAAAATCAAGTGGTTTCCATCATCTCCCACAATGCCTACTCCAAAGGAAAAAAAAATGGGATTGCAAGGCCTGGAAAAAGTGGAGGCTCTTTAGGGCACTGCACCAGCCAGGACTTTGGGATTATTTTGGGGGTTTTTTTGCCAGGTCACCACAGAGGTGGTCACGGCCTCATCTCTGGAAAAATCCAAGGCCATGGCTCTGGACAACTTGATCCAGTCAAAGATGTCCCACAGAGAAGTACAACATGCGAATAAATCCCAGGAATTCCCAAAATCAAGGGGTTTTCATCATCTCCCACAATGCCTACTCCAAAGGAGAAATTTGGGGCTGAAATTCCTGCTAGAGGCCTAGAAAAAGAGACTAAAAAGGAGACTTTAGGCCAATCCACCAGCCAGGATTTTGGGCTGGGTTGTTTTTGCTGGTTGCCCAGGGAAATGGTGGAACCCTCATCCCTGGAAAGATCCAAGGCCATGGCTCTGGAGAACCTGATGCAGTTGAAGATGGCCCTGCTCACTGCAGGGGCTTGGAGCAGGTGACCTTCAAGGGGCCCTCCCAACCCAAACTGTTCAACACAAAAATTCTGGGATTCCCAAGAAACACAGGAAAAATTCAGCCTGAAGAGGGAAAAATAAACCCAAATCCTGACTCTGAGCTGCGATTCCTTTCAGCTCCTCTTCAGCCCGTCTTCAAAGCTGAGTCCCAAGGACCTTCCAGGGCCACTTGAGCTGCCCTGGGACCAGCTGGAGCCATGACCCCACTGAGGTTTTCCTGCAGCTTTGTTGGGACAATGGGTTTACTCAGCCCTGTCGCGGTGCATTTCTGCAGCCTCAGGACTTTGGGCTCCGTTTTTTTTTCCCTGATGGGGTTTTTTGGAGGTGGAATTTTAGCCCAGGAACTCTGACGTGACCGGGCTGAGGTACCCTGATGGGCAGGTGGAGGTGTCATTGCAGCTGGGACAAAATGCAGGGAGAGCAACAAATCTGCACCTTCCAACACCTGGGGAACACTTTTCACTTGGCCAAAATCCCAGAAATTCTGTAGGAATCAGCTCTGGAGGATGGGGGCATTGCCAAACCAGGCAGGAGAACAGGAATGGGAGGTGTGGCACACAGGAATGAAGGTGCTCCAAGGACACCTCACCCCAGGATGGGACACAGTCCTGGACCTACTGGCAGTGTGGATATCCTGGATTTTATGGGATTAGGCTAAAAACTCATCTCAAACAAGGCAGCAGCTCCTCTCAGACCCCAAAACTGTCATGCTTTATTTCCTATCATACCTCTTGTGCTGATGGATTGGGATGGGTTTGGATCAGCTCAATCTTGTCCCCAGAATCCTGAATTTCCTTCTAGAGCTGGAATTCACCCTTTTTGGAAATGTTCCTTTACCCCTCTCCAACTGATGCTCATGTCACATTTTTGATGCTTTAACAAACACCTCCATCATTTTTTTCATGGCTTTGGACAGCACCTTTATCTCCTGCACTTCAGCAGCAAAGCCCAAGAATTTCACTGTGCTCCTAAATCAGACACTGGAAAAATTCCCTGAACCCTACAAGGATAAAAAACATTGAATCCAAAGGATGTGGAGACCTTTGGGATGCAGCCTGCTCCTTCCTGGCTTGCTCTCACCCACGATTTGGGTGATCCATCCGCAACATAAGCAAAAAACTCCAACTAATATTAAAAAATACCAAACCTGCAGCTCCCACAAAGCTTTGACCCAGACCTGATGCTCCCAAATCAGGCTGAGGTGCCTCCCAGGTCTCCTCAAGCTTTGGGGAGGCTCTGGAGCTCAGGGGATGCCCAGCAAACTCAACTTCTTCTCAGCTGGGGCTTTTCTAACCCAGCTCTGCAAGACAAAAGGCTGCCTCGATCTGCCCTGGTGCTTTTTAGACCAATTCAAGTCCTCCCAGCCTCCAAACCAACCCTGACTGGTTCCAAAAGGAAACATTAATATTTAAGGAAGATAAATCACTGCTGGCCCACCTCATAAATCACCGTGGGCATCCCCCCCCAGCTCATCTCTGCTGCTTCATGCTCTGCTGCAGAGACCAATCTCCCTGTCAAGTTCCATTACCGGCTCCTGCGGATCCCCACCGTGATGGGTGGAAGCCTCCAGGTGCTAAACCAACCCACTGTTCCTTTCTTTTAAGGAGAAATCCAGCCATTTCCAGCATCTCCTGGCTTTGGAAGGCACCTGCCACAGGACACCTGCCTGGGGACATTTGGGACAAACCTGGCTGGGGAGATGGATCCAAGTCCTCCCCACTTCACTGCTCATTTATCAGTTTATTTATCAGTTTGTCCAACTGATAATAGAGCTGAGGAAGCCACTTCTCCTCCACACAGGTGCAGAGGAGCAGGGAAGCCACTTCCAGTCCCCTTTTGGGGGTTTCTGTCCCCCCAGCAAATCAGCCAGAGCTCCCCCTGCTCCCAGATTTTCCTGCTGGGATGGGGATGCCCAAAGACACGAGACAGCACAGTTTGGGGGTGTGACACCTCCCAAAACAGGAGGGTGGGACCTCCTTCCAGAGGAGAATCCCAGGGCACAAACAGAACGAAGGAAGCTGCCACTGGGGAATATTAAATCTCCCCTTCCTGTTTATTCCCAGCTCGTGAAAGCAGCAAATAAATCCCAGTTTCACAAAGGAAGAAAGATCTGAAATTGCTTTTAGAAAAACCACAGAATTCAGGGGATTTGCTGTTTCAAAATACCTGCTGATCCTCCTGAGAGTGCATCCACACAGCTCAAATCAAATCCCATTTAGAGGAGGGAAAAAAGCTGCTGGAGCAAAAAAGGAATCTCCCTGGTGATTGGATTTTTCCTACCAATGAGACACCACTCAGCCGACTGCAAAAAGCAGCATAAAGAACATTTCTGATGGCAACAGCAGCATAAACACAGGGACTTTAGACAGCAGAGAGAAGAAAGAAACATATGGTGCCTTCCAAGGGAGTAATACTGGGATGGGAGGCATCAGGGACTTGACAAACACTTGGAAACACAGCTGTAGTTCCAGTATTGCATCCACAGGCTGGATTTTTGGGAAAAAGAATTCTGGATGGGCATTAATTGCAAGTTAAAGTGTCTGAAATACAGGTGGGGAATAAATTCCAACCCTGCTGATACACGGTGGGCTGGGATGGAGCCTCAATCCCACAAAACTAGACTAGCAAATAATTGGGAGAGTCCTGAAGCCCAGAGCTTGTGGCGACACGTGAAACCCTTTCTGTTGCAGACATCTTTTCATGAAAAATCCTTTCCTTAGGATTTTTCCTCCGGAGAAGCTGAGAGGCCCCAGGAACAAAATGTAAACAATGATTATCTGCTGCTGTGGAATGCAACAGGTGGATCTTTGATTGGCCCATGTTGGTTGTTTGTAATTATATCATTAATTACAGTCAGCTGGCTCAGACTCTGTCCGAGACACAAACTTTGTTATCATTCTTTCTGATTCTATTCTTAACTTAGCTAGCTTTCTGATGAAACCTTTTCTCCTATTCTTTTAGTATAGTTTTAATGTAATATATATCATAAAACAATAAATCAAACCTTCTGAAACATGGAGTCAACATTCTCATCTCTTCCCTCATCCAAGAACCTCTGTGAACACCATCACACCCTTCCTTTAAAAACAGAATTTTTCCCATATCCCCCACATCCCCAGGCCCCGTTTCCAGCACAACCCATGAGGTTTGAGCTCCCCCAGGACCCAGGAGCAGGAGGGAGGGCGGGCTCACCGGGAGGTGGGTGAACACGGCGAAGGTGCTGCGCAGGAAGCCGATCAGATCCACCAGGTACTCGCTGGCCCGGCTGCCCGGCTCCGGGGCCATCCAGTCGTAGTCGGCCAGCTGCAGGAACTGGTCGATCTTCTGGTTCAGGTTGGTGTAGATCTCCTCCTCAGCAGCGTGTCGAGCATCCTGGGAATGAGGCAGGGTGTGGGATGGGGGCAAAAATCCCACGTGGTATGGGGGCTCCACACCAGCAAAATCCCACATGGAATGGGGGCTCCAAACCAGCAAAATCCCACATGGGATGGGGGCTCCAAACCACTGAGACCCCACATAGGATGAGGGCTCCACTCCACCACTGAAATCCTGCATGGGATGGAGGCTCCACACCACAAAAATCCTACATGGGATGGGGGCTCCACACCAATGAAACCCCACATGGGATGAGGGCTCTAAACCATCAATATCCTACATGGGATGGGGGCTCCACTGCATCTCTAACAGGGTGGGAGCTCCACCCAGCCTTTAGACAGGGATTTGACACAGCCCTAAAGCTCAGGGCAGCCACCACGAGGCTGCTGCAGTCTCAGGCTGGTGGAACAGGGACCACCAGGCTGTGGTGGGCAGCACCAAGCTGGATTCTGCCCCTGATATCACCTGAGGACAAATCCAGAGGAGATGGAGGAGAGACTGGCTCCAGGGCTGGGATCCTGGTGCTGATGACACCAAGGTGGTGTTCAATGCCTGGATGGGCTGTTCCAGAGTCTATGATCCCTGTGGGTCCCTACAGCTCAGGATATCCCATGATTCTGAGGTGGGAGAGGAACATTCCCCATGGAAACCCCACCAAACCCAGGGCAGGGCGGGGTTCAGGAGCCTCCCTGCCAGAACATGGGCAGGACGCTCAGCTTCAGACCAGACAGGTGGATAAAGGCAGGATGGACTTCCCTGGGGACACCCCATGGCAAAGCCCCACCAAACCCACTGCTGCTGTTCCCACCTCTGGATCTCCACAGGACACCCCACACTTGACCCAATCAGATCCAATATAAAGCACTCCTGGAGTGGGATTTAAAGGGTGGAAAATCTGGGAGTTTCTGTCAGCCCTGATTTTAAGGGGATAATGCCAAAAGGAGTGGAAAGATGGAGAAATATAAATTCTGGAAATCTTTCTCCTAGGTGGAAGAGGAATCTGGTGTCCATGACACAGCACTCCAACAGCAAAGCGAGGATTTATTTAAATAAGAAATATCAGGCTTTTGTTTAAGATCTCCTTAATCCTTTACCTAATTAGTGCTGCAAATTAAGGACAAAACCTCCCACGGTCTCAACAGGAGCAACGCTCCAAAGGACAAACCCAAAGCGATGGCGCAACCTCCCCAAAAAATAGGCCAGAATCATCCTTGGGCTCAGCCCAGCTGGGCCTGAGGCCTCCTGAGCAGAGCAGATCCCTGCCAGCACCCACCCAGGGGTGGGACCCTGAAGGTGGTGGTGGTCCCGTAGGGCTCACCTTGAAGGTGGTGGTCCCGTAGAGCTTGGTGGTGTGCACGGTCTCGGGCAGCACGTTGGTGATGTTGGTGATGAACTCCTCCAGGAACTTGCAGGATTTCTCCAGGTGGGTGGTGTTGATGATGATCTGCACCAGCTGGGAAGGCAGAGAAGGGTTTCAGCCCCACTGCCAGTTCCATGCAATGCTGACGCTGTGCAAACACCCCGAGCTTTGCTACGGGCTCCAGTCTCTCCTCCTTTAACAACACCTAAATCCAAGATAATTTTGGGGGGGAAGCATTTCCCATGACAGCCACTAATACCACAGGTGATTTTTTTCTTTTCAAGGACTTTCCTACATTGAGCTGTCACTCAGGGCTCCCCCAAAAAAACTGCCAGGACACATCAGGAGGCTCCAGGCTGCCACTGAACCCGAAAAATAACCCGAGCTTGAGTGACACCGAGCAGCATCACACGGGCCCTGAACAAAGGAACCACGAGGTTTGGCTCTGGCAGGTGTGGGGTGAGCAGATCCCTGCCAGCCCTGGGGCAGCAGAACGCCCTGGGTTGGTGTCATTTCACTGCTGGAGCCTGGTGGGGCTGTCTGCAGCCACCTCCCGTGCAGGAAGGGCTTGGAAACGCTCCCAAATCTGAAGGAGATTGGATTCATCAGCAATTTCAAAGGTGCAGGCATAGAAATTGTGAAGTGACACCACAAAGATCCCAGCACTGGTGCTGGTGACACCTTGGGAGGTTCAGCCTTGACATGGGGAAGGAGAAGAGACACTGGAAAGGTGCAGAACTGGAACAGGGTGTCCAGGGAAGCTGTGGGATGTCTGGGAGAAATGAGAAGTTGGGAAAGGAAAGCCTTGGGTGACACGATGCAAGGCAGCAAAAATTAAGTAAACAATTAGTAACACCTTGTTTAATACCCAGAGGCCCCACCTGTCCCGGAGACCTGCAGATATACATGGATTAAAATCATCAAGAACCTGATTCTGTACCAAAAAAAAAAAAAAGAACGGACCACAGAAAGAAAATTCCAAATTAGGGTGTGTGCTGCAGCAATGTGCTGAAACCACTCAAACATCACCTGAAAATGAGGATTGCTCTTCCATTCCCTCACATTTCCCTCTTGGATCTCCTCTGGTCCTCCATGAAGTCCTCTGACTCTAACTCAAATTTGTAACATTGCCCAAAATGTAGAGGACAAAATTCACAACCAATAGCAAAGAAACCTCTTCATTTTCCACAAGCTAAAGTTCCTCGCTTTGTACAACAACTCTGAGCAGTTTTCCAGGCAAATATTTCATGGAATGCTCCAAACCAGCACCTCTAGAAGGAGTTCTAAGGGACCTCCTGTCACCCTGCCCTGGAATCACACAATCCAGGAATGGGTTGGCTTGGAAGGGACCTCAAAGATGATCTAATTCCAAGCCAAACACCTCCTACTATCCCAGGTGGCTCCCAGCCCCAATGTCCAACCTGGCCTTGGACACTGGCAGGGATCCAGGGGCAGCCACAGCAAATCTGGGAATTCCAGCCCAGCCCCTCACCCAGGAATTCCTTCCCAAGATCCCACCCATCTCTGCCCTGTGGCAGAGGGAAGCCATTCCCTGTGGCTCCATTCTCAAGGGAATCCACACCCCACCTCTGTCAGTCCAACGTTTTTCCTCTTGATGACATTCTGTAAACAGTTGCTCAGGGTCCGGGTCAGCAGCAGATTTGTGGATTTTCTGATCATGTCATCGACTTCTGTGGAGCTGTGAAGTAAAATTGAAAGAGGAATTTGCAAGATGCTCCATGGAAAGAAAATCCCTGGGAATTCTCCTCATCCTCCTTCCCGACTCTCCCCTGCCTCACCCCTGAGCAGCCCTGCAGGGCTCACAGGAGCTGATGTTTGAAATGCATCAGAATACAATAACTTAAGCATTTTCATCCATGTTTCAGGAGGAAAAGTGAATCAACATCTGGAGATCCCAAATTCCTCAGCCTCTCATCCAAGAAGAACTGGTCCAGCCTAAGGAAGAGCCGTCCATGGCATCAGCACAACCCTGCCCTCAACACTGGGGATTGCATGTTCAGAACAAGGGAAATGAACTCCAATGGTGAAATCACAATTCAAATCCTCCAAAATTCCCCTCTCAGCCCTTTCTGGGCTTTTACACAAAATTACAGAACCATGGAATGGTCAAGGTTGGAAGGGATCTTAAACAGAAACTGGAAAAACTGCAGGAGTGAGCAAAGTCACAGGGAATGGGTTTAGAAGGCCACACTTCCAATGATCCCTGGATTTCCACACAGGGACTCCTCAGCACAGCACAGCTCCATCTCCATCTCCAGAATCCCAGAATGGTTTGGGTTGGAAGGGACCTTAAATCTCATCCCATTCCCAACGCCATCCATGGGCAGGGACACCTCCCACTGTCCCAGGTGGATCCAGCCTGGCCTTGGGCACTGCCAGGGATCCAGGGGCAGCCACAGCAAATCTGGCAATTCCAGCCCAGCCCCTGCCCACCCTCCCAGCCAGCAATTCCTTGCCAAGATCCCAGCCCAATCTCCCCTTTCCCAGTGGGAGCCATTCCCTGGCTCCTGTCCCTTGTCTCCAGTTCCTCTCCAGCTCTCCTGGAACCCCTTTATGAACTCTGAGGATTCCCTGGATTTTTCCCTTTTCCAGGGGAGCATTCCCAGCTCTCCCAGCCTGGCTCCTGCCCTGGAACTCCAGACTGGAACTCCTGCACCCCATTCCTGCCCTTTCCCAGCTGTCTGGAGCAGCAGCACCGTTGGAATTTGGGGGTTCAGCCCCTCCCAGGTGCTCACGGTGCCACCTCTCCTTTCTCCAGGAGGTTTTGCCAACCCCCCCTGCCCGAGGCTCCTTGGATCTGTGCTTGGCTCTGGATTAGCCCTGACAGGAGTGGAAATTGTCTCCTGCAGGAGGGGCAGGAGAGGGAATTCCCAATGGGAAGGCCAGGCAGGAACTCTGATCCTCCCGGTAAATGGAGCCCCTGACCTTTGGCTCCTTCTCCTGCTCCACCTGACAGAGGGGCCACGTCACAGAGCTGGGATTGACGTGGGAAACAAAAGCCAACCTTGAAGTTATCCCAGGAGAAAGGTGGGGGGTGTTGGGATGCTGCAAGCGGGGGGTGGGAATGGCTGGGATGGGATTTGGGGTAGGAATTGCTGGCTGGGAGGGTGGGCAGGGGCTGGGCTGGAATTGCCAGATTTGCTGTGGCTGCCCCTGGATCCCTGGCAGTGCCCAAGGCCAGGTTGGACATCAGGGTTTGGAGCAGCCTGGGATAGGGGAAGGTGTCCCTGCACTTAGTATCTCAAGTTCTTCCAGGATTTGGGGTTTGTTTGTAAAAAATCCAACCAAAACCCAAGCCTTGGTGATCAGAGCTGATCATCCTTGCACCCACTGTTTTCCAGAGATACTCCCTATTTCCAGAGGGAAATTCCAGCGGAAAAAGCAAGAGGGTACATTTAAAGACAACCTGATAAACTCAGCTTGTAAAAAGGCAAAAGTGCCGAGGAGATAAAGGAAGTTTCCCTGCTCCAATCCAATTAATAGTGCCAATAATAAAAATTCCAAATGCTACAAACCCACCCAGAGCTCCAAACTTTCCCCAAGTGAAACAACTCCCACATCAAGGAGAACCCTCCCATCCCAACAAATACAAGGAGCTGCTTTAACAAAATAATTAGTGGTGGGGGGAGAAAAAAAAACCCCCATAAAATGTGAGCTGCACTTTGTGCTGTGCAGGAAAAGGCTTGAAGGGAACTGTCTGGGATAATGACAGCTCCTGTCCCGGATCCTGTGGCAGCTGTGGTGACCTCCAGGCCCCTGTGAGTGACGGGCTGACCCCCAGCACTCCGGGGTGCTCCGTAAATGACAGGGCCAGGCGAAAAAAGAAAGGGAGGAGAAAAGGGAACTCGCTGCCGGCTTTGTAGCCAAGCTTCCTAATAAAACCTAATTCAAGCTGTCAGGGTGAAATGAAGAAAGTGTCAACAGGGGTTTGCAGAGAAATATTCCAAATGTTTGGCTGCGAGAGCTGGAGCTGGGGCTCCCCTCCCCCCCTGCTGCTCCGAAAGGGCTGGAAAATCCAGTGTGGAAAGGAATTTTAATAATGGGTCTGGTGGGAACCCCAGGAGGGACCCACGGGGACACCTCTGCTCCCTGCCCTGCCAGGGCCAATCATCCCAGCCACGGGGAGCAGCACCCACAGGAATGGGCTCTGGGAAGGGAGAGGGGCCATGGTGAGCCTGGGTTAGGGGCCCTGGGTGCCACCAGCAGGAGGAGGAGAAACTGCCACCACTGCAAGGGTGAGGTGGAACATGGGGGAGAAACTCCTGAGCTTCCAGAGCAACCAACAGGGAAAGGGACTCTCCAAACTGGCATTAGAGAGTCCCATTCTCCAATAAGAAAAGGACTCCAGGGAGAATCCTTGGCTCCAGGGGAGAGCAGGAAAATCCTGGAGAGCCTGGGGCACTGGAACAGCCACTGAGTCCCCAGAGCTGTCCCAGCTCCACAGCAGCCATGGGGCGGGTTAGGATAGAAGGGACCTTAAATCCCATTGGGATCCAACTCCAGGGACACCTCCCACTGTCCCAGGTGGATCCAGCCGGGCCTTGGGCACTGCCAGGGATCCAGGGACAGCCACAGCAAATCTGGGAATTCCAGCCCAGACAGCAATTCCTGGCCAAGATCCCAGCCCAATCTCCCCTTTCCCACTGGGAGCCATTCCTTGGCTCCTGTCCCTGCAGGCCTTGTCCTCAGTCCCTCTCCAGCTCTCCTGCAGCCCCCTCAGGGACTCTGAGGATTCCCAGGATTTTTCCCTTCTCCAGGGGAACATTCCCAGCTCTGCCAGCCTGGCTCCAGAGCAGACGGGCTCTGGAATTCCAGGAGCAGCTCTGGGGCCTCCTCTGGGCTTTCTCCACAGCTCCAGGGTCAGGTCATGGCCAGGATATGAAGCTCCCAAGGAGGTGGAACTCCCTCCACCCCAATCCAGCCTTGTGTTTGCCCAGGGAAGGGAAGGAGGATGAATCCCTCCAGCCAAACTCTTGTCCTGCATTTCTCAGCCTCTCCCAAGCTGTGAACGCTGCTGATGCAAAGGCAAAGCCCCAGCTCTCAGTTCCTGGCAGGCCCTGCTGGTTTTCAGTCTCACACACGTACGCATGGGTGAAACGAGCATCAAAGCACCCTGGGATGGAGCAGGGAGGGTAAACACATGGAATATTTTGCAGGCTTTAAAAAAAAAAAAATCACATTATTTGTATATAAACTCCCCGAAGAAACAAGAACAACAAAAGCACGAAACCAGCAGCTGAAACTCGTTCCTGACCAAAAATCCAACCCTCAGAGCCTTCCTGACAACACTTCCATGGAACCACGGGATTCCCATTCCTTGGGGAGCAGTGAGGGGAGGCCTGGGGGGGATCAGAGGTGCTCCAGCAGGCCTTGGGGATGAGTGGCCACCACAGCCTCCCTCCAGACATCTCCATTCATTTATTTATTAAAGGAATGCCACAGAAACATCTCAGAGGAAACAGCCTCAACTGAGATTGTCCTGGGAGCATGGAATTCCCTGGAAGTGTCCAAGGCCAGGCTGGAGGAAGCTTGGAGCACCATGGAAATTGTCCAGTGATGGGTTTGGAAACAACCCCCAAAGTTCCTCCCAACCCAAACCATGCTGGGATCTCCCCCTGCAGGAGCAGAGGTGTCCAGCCAAAATCCCACTGCTCCAGAGCCACTTCCAGCCTGGACAGGCTCCATGCACAGGAGGAGGCCGGTGGTGAGAGGAGAGCCTTGGAGTACTTCTGGGAATCAGAAGTGGAATGGCACTAGTCCTCGTTTTATTGCGATTGCTGAGGTGAGGATCCGACAGGACGCTGGGTGGGTGAGTTGGGTGATGTCCCACTGGCCGGTGCGCCATGCTTTGGTTATGCTGGAGAATAAAACAAGGGTGATGTCCCACTGCCCGGTGTGCCATGCTTTGGTTATGCTGGAGAATAAAACAAGGGCAGCAGCAGCTGCTTGGGTCAGGAAGTATTTAGTGGCAGCTTCAATGGCTCGTGGGTGATGGGATTTTGAGATTAATGGGAGGATGGTGAGTGTGTTGATTTCAAGGCCGGTCCAGGCCATAATTCAGTGGTTATTTGAGACAGTAATGGCTGCTCCTAGGAGTAGACTAATAATTAAGATTAGATTTGCTTGGGGGTTCATTAGTAGGGGAAGGAGTTGAACCATCACTTTTGGGGTATGGGCCCCATAGCTTGTTTAGCTGACCCTACTAGAAAGTAATATAAAGGAAGCACGGAGGGCTTTGATTCCTCTAGTGTAGGTTGGATTCCTGCTTTTCTAAGCACTAGGAAATGAGAGGGTTGGTATAGCTCCACGTTCACTGTATCGCAGTGACCCTTAGGATTCAGGCACATTTCCAGCAGGGCCTCAGGCAAGGAGGCAGGCCCGCTCTCTGAGGGCACGGTTCCCACCTGAGGTGCAGGTCCTCAGAGAACTTGAGGCAGGCGTAGATGAACTCCTTGATCTGGCCGTAAACCTTGGGCACGAACTCCGAGAAGGGGAACTTCTTTGGGAAGGGTTGCTGGAAAACAGGGGGAGAACAGCTCCAGAGGGAGGGCGCTCCCAGGCAGGCAGAGCAATTCTGGGATTTATCCCGGATTTTATCAACACTTCAGCCGAGGGGGAGAGCAGATAATCACAAATAGAGCAGGAGGGCTTTGCGGCCATTCCCTCTCCCAACTCCCTTCTCCTCCCTCCTTGGGAACACCTGGAATTCCTCCCCCACCATGCACAAAGTGTTTTCCTGCTCACCTCCCCCAGGTGCTGCCCAACAACCCCAAAACCCAGGAGCAAATGATTTTCCAACACCAAATTCTCCCAGTTTTTACCCCCAGCGTTCAGAGCTGGGAGGTGCAGGGAGCAGCTGAACCCCAGGACTGAATTTTGGGGCAGGACACAGAAACCTGAACCCCAGACTGGGATCACCAGGGTTGGATTTGCTGCCTGCCAGGTGTGGATTTAGGATTTGGGGGACATCTGGACACACTTTGGTTTTCCAAGCTCATGCTCATGCAAAGGCCAAGAGCCATCACTTTTCTGGGCTCTTTTTCTCTAAATATGAGACTAAAACCAAAAAAGGTGAATCCCAGGGTCCATAAAATAGGAATAAAATGCCAGTGGAAGAGGATTTTTCTACCTGTGTGACACAACACTCTGAGAGAAACACAAATCCCACTTCCCTCATCCACACAAGGAAATGCATCCCGTGGGAGGAATATTTGTTCCTCTTTTATTGTTTATTTGGGCTGGTGAGTTGATTTGGGGTTTTTTGGATCCTTTAAATGCCCACAAAGGGTGTGAGGTTCTCCTGCCCATGCAGACAGGCCAGGCCAGGCCATGCTCCCCATTCCAAGATTTACCTTTTCAAGTTCAGCATCCTGGAATGGGAACTGCCCAACGATTTTCCTATAAACTTCTTCATTTGACACCGGGATGGGGCTGTAGTTATCTGAGTCAAGGATATTTCTGGGAGAAGAAGAGAAGAGTCAGGGAGACAAAGGTGAGGGGAAGTTTTCCTGCTGAGCCAGGGGATTCCCAGAGGCTGCTGCCAGGCTAAGGTGGGATCCCAAATTCCTGCAGCAGCAGCCAGGGATGGCCCAAAGCAGCCACAGCTCAGTGATGGAGCGAGGGCACAGAACCATGGAATGGGTTGGGTGGGAAGGTACCTTAAATCCCATTGGGATCCAACTCCAGGGACACCTCCCACTGTCCCAGGTGGATCCAGCCTCACCTTGGACACTGCCAGGGATCCAGGGGCAGCCACAGCAAATCTGGCAATTCCAGCCCAGCCCCTGCCCACCCTCCCAGCCAGCAATTCCTTGCCAAGATCCCAGCCCAATCTCCCCTTTCCCAGTGGGAGCCATTCCCTGGCTCCTGTCCCTGCAGGCCTTGTCCCCAGTTCCTCTCCAGCTCTCCTGGAGCCCCTTCAGGGACTCTGAGGATTCCCTGGAATCTTCCCTTCTCCAGGGGAACATTCCCAGCTCTCTCAGCCTGGTTCCAGCCCTGCAGTAGCTCTAGGGTCTCCCCTGGATTTATTCCAGCAGCTCCAGCAGGGGAAGCCCCAGACAGGTTTTAAGGTCCCTTCCCAACCAACCCATTCCACTATTCTGTGACTGATCCCTCAAAAACTTCCACACAGGGGCCAGAACCCCTCAGTGAGGGGTGTCTCAGGAGGTTCTGTTGGAGCCTCTCACCTGAAGACCCCAGCCCATTTCTTCAGCAGGGTCTCGCTGTACTGGTCCTGGATCTCCAGCAGCATGTCAAAGAGCTGGTTCACGGGGAAGCCATAGCCCTGCAGAGCAGCAGGAAGGGAATGAAACCCCCAGCAGGGATCTGGGGGTCGTTTTCTGTATTTATCAGGGGCAAATCCCCCTTCCAGCACCACCCCTGGGGATCACAGTCTGTATTTAACAGGGGCAAATCCTCCCCATTGCCACCTCTGGTGCAGCTGGGGATTGCTGTCTGTATTGAACAGGGACAAATCCTCCTCTAGCACCACTCCTGGGGATCACTGTCTGTATCAAACAGGGCAAATCCTCTTCAGGTACCACCCCTGGTGCAGCTGGGGATTATTATCTGTATCAAACAGGGGCAAATCCTCCTCTAGCACCACGCCTGGGGATCCTTGTCTGCATTTAGCAGGGATAAATCCTCCTCCAGGACCAGCCCTGGTGCAGCTGTGGCTCACTGTCTGTATTGACCAGGGGCAAATCCTCCTCAGGCACCAGCCCTGGTGCAGCTGGAGGGGCTCAGGGGGTGATTGACCAAGGGAGAAGCACCCAGAGCTGTACCAGGACCAAGCTTGGTCCTTGCACAGACCAAACTGGGCTGTCCCTCAGGCCATCCAGAAATGCCAAAAAAATTCTGGCATTTTTTTGTCCTAGAAATGCCGAAAAAAGAGCTTGGCCAGCCCAGCCCAGGCACCAAAGCACTGCTGGAGCTCTGGGAGCACCAGGAGAAGCCCCACGTACCTGGAGCGTGTCAGCAAAGAGCACAATGAGGTTCTTCAGGTCCAACACCAGGCTGGGGTCAGAGCAGTAGGACTGGAGAGGAGGGCAGAGAGGAAAACACAGCTATGACTGCGTGGCACAGCCCAAACCCTGCCCTGAGCCCCCCTGTGCCACCAGGGATCTCATAAACACTGCCCAGGCCCAGGAGCAGTGAGGGCAGGGCTGATAAGGGTGATAAGGCTGATAAGGCTCTGCTCTCCGGGCTGGAGAAGGCTCTGGGCTGCCCCAGACACACCTGAGGTGTGTCTAAAACTGCCCAGGAGCTGCTGGGCAGTGAGAGGAGATGGCTCCCATGGTGTTGCCACCATGGGACAGGGTGACATTTAATATTTACCTCTCATTTCATTTGCCTCTCATTTAATATTTACTGTGTTGTGTCTGATGGTAATGAAGCATCTCAGCCAGGCTGGGGGGAAAACACGCTGGATTGCAGCTCCAGCACGGGGATTTATCCTGCTCCAAACCCCCCAGACACAGCTCAGTGTCCCCAGAGCAGCCCCAGTCCCCCCTGGGCTTCCCAAGAGCAGCCAAAAATGAGCTGGAAAATGTGAAGTTTGAGACAGAGGCTGCCCAAATATAGAATCAGTGATCCCCAGCTGGAAAGGGAGCGGGATTTAAGGCTTGCTGGAAACTCCAGGAGGAACAGCTCCATTAATCAGAGGGAAGGACTGGGAGACACAGGTTTTCCATCTCCCTGTCCAAAAAGGAGAGTCAGGAAGAAAGATAATGCCCTGAAGCATCAGCAGTGATTAAAGATGTCCCTGTCTGCGGCAAGGAGGAAAATCCAGGGATAAATTTGTCTGCCTTGGAAGGATCCAAATGGCCTCAGTAAGGTGAGAGACCCTCCCTCAGATCCCAGTTTGGGAGGCAGGGCACTGGTTGAACTGGGAGTGCTCAGGGCAAATAAATGGTGGTGGCCAAAGGGGTTGGGAAATCGGGGAATGTTTTGTGATTGCTGAAAAAGCCTCCCCTGGCAGCCACTCCGAGCGTTCCCTTTGGCACCACTTGAAACAACCTGAGTGGCAACAAAGCTGGCAACGCCAAAAAACCCCGTGGCTGGGCCTGCCTCAGCCTCCTGCTGCCAGCCCCGAGAAAATCCCACTTGAAACCAAAACAAACACAGGTTTGCAGCTGGGGAGGTTGGTGTTTATCCCCCCTGGCAGCACAGGAGCTGGGGGGGAAGGAGGAGGCTCTGCAGTCACCTGGATGGGGATGGAGAACACCAGGAACCTTCTGGGGTCCCTCATCCCACAGAGATCCAAGTTCACCACAGAGATCTGTGTCCTTCTCTTCCCATATTTTCACCCTTGCTCTCTCCTGGGGTTCTGTCTCTCTGGATTTGGTTTTTCAGCCCATTTTTAACCCACTTCTCAGCCCATTCACAGCCATGAAACTTAAGGGATCAAGATGATTTCTAAGGTCCCCTCCAACCCAAACCACTCTGGGATTCTCTGATCATGTGTGCCAAAAGATGCTTTAACACCACATTTTGGGAAAAATCAACTTTTCAGTCACCTGGATGGGGATGGAGAACACCAGGAACCTTCTGGGGTCCCTCATCCCAGAAAGATCCAGGAGCAGGGAAGAGCCATGGAATGGTGTGGGGTGGAAAGGACCTTCAATCCCATCTGGTTCCACCTCCTTCCACTGCACCAGGATGCTCCAAATCTGGTGTTTGTGTCCATCTCTTTTCATATTTCCACCCAATCTGCTCCTGGCTCTCTCCTGGGGTTCTCTCTCTCTGGATTTGGGTTTCCAGCCCATTTTCCAGCCCATTTTTCAGTCATGAAATTTAAAGGATCAAGATGATCTCTAAGGTCCCCTCCAACCTAAACCACCCTGGGATTCTCTGGTTCTGTATCAGACAATGTCATGCTTTGGTGTGCCAGAAAGATGCTTTTCTCTCCCAAGTTTCTTGGGAAAATCAATTTTCCAGTCACCTGGATGGGAATGGAGAACACCAGGAACCTTCTGGGGATCCCTCATCCCTGCGAGATCCAAGTTCATCAGAGAGATCTGTGTCCTTCTGTTCCCATATTTTCACCCAAGCTGCTCCTGGCTCTCTCCTGGGGTTCTGTCTCTCTGGATTTGGTTTTTCAGACCATTTTCCAGCCCATTTTTTAGCCCATTTCTCAGCCCATTTTTAGCCCATTTTCCAGCCAAATTTTAGCCATGAAATTTAAGGGATCAAAATCATCTCCAAGGTCCCCTCCAACCTAAACCACCCTGGGATTCTCTGATTCTGTATCAGACAAGGTCATGCTTTTCGAAAAAGATGCTTTCCCCCCCCCCATTTTTTTGGGACAAATCAACTCCTTCTGCTGGTGCTCCTCAAAAATTCTGGATTAAATAATGATGAAAACACAAAACCACCGTTTTACTCTTCAAAATATCGAGTTTGGTAGGGAAATACAGCCAACCAAGAGGCTAAAACAACCCAGAGAAAGAGAATTATCTGCGTGTCTGTGTCGTTCCTTTAAACACTCATTGGAAAAGAGGGAAAACAAAGAATCCTGAGGGGGGAAAAAAGGCAGAATTGCAACATGTCAGGGACAGTCAAGCAACAGCTGAGCTCTGCTGGGCTTTTACTCACGGAGTGGGTCCTGAGGGCCGCGATGGTTTTGGACAGGGCCATCTCCCACAGCTCATCAATGTAGGCCCGGTTGACCAGGCCCTGCGTGGTGTGCAGGATGTGATCCTCCACCACAAAAAACCTGAAACGCAGAAAACGCCACCGAAACTTCACATCTGAGGGGTCCAAGGACATCCCCGAGCCCCTTCGGGCAAAGCTGGGCTCTGGATTTGGGGAATTTGTTAAATCCAGGCCGCTCCAAGCGCTTTATTCCCTCATTTTTAATTTCACTGGGTTGGAGGAGGGAGGTAAAACCCTCCCTGTGTGTACACAAAGGCAGAATTCCCCCTCCGTGAGTTCTCCACCTTGTTATTCCCACAAGAACCACGGATTAAACTCTGCTGCAGCCAGCAGCAATCCCATCACAATTGGGGAGAACACTTTATCTTGCTTTATCTGCAGGGAAAACTGCTTTATCTGCAGGGAAAACTGCTTTATCTGCAGGGAAAAACACTTCATCTGCAGGAGAAAATGTTTTAAATACAGGGAAAACTGCTTTATCTGCAGGGGAAAATCCTTTATCTGCAGGGTAAAATGCTTTAAGTACAGGGAAAACTTGATCTTCAATGCTTTAAGTATAGGGAAAACTTTATCTTCCCTCTTTATCTTCAGGGAAAAACACTTTATCTGCAGGGAAAAATGCTTTATCTGGAGGAAAAAAATTTTTAAATACAGGGGAAAATGTTGGAACTGTAGAGGAATACACTTTATCTGCAGGGAAAAATGCTTTAAGTGCAAGGAAAAATGTTTTAAGTACAGGGGAAAATGTTGGAATTGTAGGGAAAATGCTTTATCTGCAGGGAAAACTGCTTTAAGTGCAGGAAAAATGCTTAATTTGCAGGGGAAAATGCTTTATCTGCAGGGGAAAATATTTTAATTACAGGGAAAACTGCTTTATCTGCAGGAAAAAATGTTTTAAGTACAGGGAAAAAATGTTGGAACTGTAAGGAAAAATTATTTATCTGCAGGGGAAAATGCTTTATTTGCAGGGAAAAATGCTTTAAGTACAGGGAAAAATGTTGGAACTGCAGGGAAAATCCCCTCTCCCACCCAGGCCCACCACATGCTCCCAAATTTCCAGACAACCCCAATTTTCTCCAATCTCCAGTTGGAGATCAACTCTGCTGCTCCAAACAAAGTGTTTTCCAAGGAATGAGGGTGAGAGTGTCCATTTTAAATGGTGACACATGCATTTCCAGGTGTTTTTCCCAAGGAAATCCAGGCCAGGAGCAGGGAGCTGCAGGAGGGGAGCAGCACACGTGGAATTATTGAAATAATTCTCATTATTAGATGAAGAAAGAACAAATCCTGTCCAATTTTTATGGCTCAGCAGCCTTTGGAATGCTCCTCTTGGAGCTCAGTTTGGGAAGATTTTTGTTCAGATTTGAGCGTGACAAAAAAGAAGCTCGGGGGAACAGAGACTCACCTCCTCCAGCAGGAACATAATTAAAGAATAATTATTAAATATTTCAGAATCATTGAGGCAGAGGGCCCATTCATGTCATTAGCAGGGCAATAAGATGAACATAATCCACAGGGATCATTCATCCTCAAATTCCCAGAAATCCACAGAAACTCCCAGAAATTCCCAGAAATTAATGAAAATTCCTAGAAGTTCATATAAAATCTCAAAAAATTAATAGAAAATCCCAGAAATTCCCAGTAATTCATAAAAATTCCTAGAAATTCATAGAAAATCCCAAAAATTACATAGAAAATCCCAGAAATTCTCAGAAATTCAGACATCTGTAAGAGCTGGCAGGTCCCTCCCCGCTCCCTCCTCAGTGACACAGCAAAGTGGATAAAATTCACTTTACAACACTTAAAAAGCACAAACCACCTCTTTTTTTGTCCTGTTTTGGCTTTGAGGACCACCAAAAATACCAACATTCCCTCCTCTCCTGGTTTTTTTGGGCTCCTCAACAGCCCAGGCCACCCATTTTTAGCAGGGCCGTGTATAAAAGGAACACCTACCCTACAATTTGATTGAAATACTTCCTGTAGCCATCTAAAGTTTCGTGCTGCAACAAAGAGAGAGGGAGCAGAGGTTAAAACCCAGGTGCCCGAGGGCAAGGGGGGATTTTGGGGATGAGCCAGGGGCAGCAGGAGCCCGGGATGAGGCTCCAGGACAGACTGACCATGTTGGAGGGAGGCTGCAGCACCAGCCGCGCTTGTTTTCTCCTCTGCTTCCTGTAGTAGCTCTCAAAGGTCTCCCGGGCTCCCTGGAAAACAGGAAAGGGTCATTGCAGCCCTCAGGATGTGCAGGAAGAGGTCACTTGGAATGTAAACCGTGGAATCGCTGAGGTTGGAAAAGCCCTTTGAGATCTGGGAGTCCAACCATGCCCAGCAGCACGAGGGCCACCACTGACCGTGTCCCCAAGTGCCACGGACACAGGGCTGGAAATCCCTCAGGGATGGCGACTCCAGCAGGATGGACAACACTTTCCATGGGGAAATTCCTCCCAGTGCCCACCCTGAGCTCCCCTGAGGCCGTTCCCTCTGCTCCTGTCCCTGTTCCCTGGGATAACATCCCAAACCCCTCCGGCTCTGCCCTCCTGGCAGGAGCTGTGCAGAGCCACAAGGGCCCCCTGAGCCTCCTTTGCTCCAGGCTGAGCCCCTGCCCAGCTCCCTCAGGGATTCTGCAGCCCCTTCCCAGCTCCCTCAGGGATTGTGCAGCCCCTTCCCAGCTCTGTCCCTGCCCTGGCCCTGCTGCCACCCCCAGCTGGCATATTCAATGCCCAACCTTGTGTGCCCCCAGCACAAATGTAGAATTTTCCCCCAAAATTCCATTAAAGTATCAGAGCACAAAGAGTTGATCTGAACACACGAAGCCCAACCCTGAGTACTCAGGTACAGGAAACGTTCCATGCCCAGTTCCTGGGATCCACAGGGATGTGCCCAGCTGATTTCTGGACCACAATATGGCCAAATATTGGAATTATTGCTCCATAGCACAACCAGTGTTGGTGTCAGCAAAGAGACCGAGGGGCCAAAAGACACCAAAGACAGAAACAGGGGGAGGTAAAGGCCAGTTTGGACAGGGCCTGGAGCACCCTGGGATAGGTGAGGATTCCCTACACATGGATGGGCTCAAAAGGTCCCTCCAACCCAGCCCTACCGGGATTCTGTGAATTCCAGAATGTGTTTGAGGTGCAGAATTCCAGAACGTGTTTTGTGTACAGAATTCCAGAATGTGTTAGGAGTGCAGAATTCAGAATGTGTTTGGGGTGCAGCATTCCAGAATGTGTTTGGAGTACAGAATTCCAGAATGGGTTTGGGGTGCAGAATTCCAGAATGTGCTTTGTGTACAGAATTCCAGAATGTGTTTGGGGTGCAGAATTCCAGAATGGGTTTGGGGTGCAGAATTCCAGAATGGGTTTGGAGTGCAGCATTCCAGAATGTGTCTGAGGGGCAGAATTCCGGAATATGTTTGGGGTAGAGAATTCCAGAATGTGTTTGGGGTGCAGCATTCCAGAATGTGTTTGGAGTGCAGAATTCCAGAATGTGTTTGGGGTGCAGAATTCCAGAATGTGGTTTGTGTACAGAATTCCAGAATGGGTTTGGGGTACAGAATTCCAGAATGTGTTTGGGGCACACCTCAAGACCACTCTGTATCATTGGGAGAAACAAACTCTGCAGCTCATTTTTCCCAACCTGCCGTGGCTCTGAGTGTCCAGAGGGTTTCCATGCCCACAGCTGACCCCTTTCCATGGCCATCACCCCAGGGCTGGGCTCTGGATGGCCCCTCTGGGGTGATCTTTGCTCCAAACCAGGCTCCACCTCAGCACCCCCATCCTGGAGCTCCCCAGAACTCAAGGATGAGCCCCCGGGCCATCCAGCCCTGGATGTTTCATCCCTGCCCATCCTCCCTCCTCCACACCCGCCCTGTTTTCTGTCTGAAATTGGATCACAAACATCTCAGGGAAGGGACAACGTCTTGCTTTGAACTGTTGGGAGCCAAGGGAGAGGGAAAAAAAAAAAAAAACCAACAAAAAACCCAACTCAGCCTCATTTAGAATTCACAAAACAAACAACATGCAACAACAAATATCACCTGAGCGAGGCACCAGCTGTCAACCTGCTCCTCTCCAGAAAATAAATTAATTAAAAGCAAAACCTGATGGTAATTTAATGATTCTCCAGCTGTTGTGGCATTATACAACCAGGCTGCCTCGGGATGCCCTCAGCTACCAGGGGCTTGTGAGGAGCCATAGCCTGACTTGCTCCTTCTTTTCTCCAAGTGCAGCTCCAGGCTCCGGCAGGAATCAGCCCAGGGATGTGCCCAGAGCTCTCCCACCTAATTCTACCCTTCCCAAAGGGGTCAAAATCCATCCCAAAAACCTTTTTAGGTACTAAAATCCATCAAAAAACCTTCTTAGGTGCTCAAATTCATCCCCAAAACCTTCTTAGATGCTCAAATCCATCCCCAAAACCTTTTAAGATCCTAAAATCCATGCCCAAAACCTTCTTAGGTGCTAAAATCCATCCCCAAAACCTTCTTAGGTGAAAAAATCCATCCAAAAACACCTTCTCAGGTCTTAAAATCCATCCCCAAAACCTTCTTAAGTGCAAAAATCCATTTAAAAAATCTTCTTAGGTCCTAAATCCATTTAAAAACATCTTTTTAGGTATTTAAATCCATCTTCAAGACCTTCTTAGGTTTTAAAATTCATCCCCCAAAACCTTCTAAGGTGCTAAAATCTACCCCCGAAACCTTTTTAGGTGCTCAAATCCACCCCAAAACCTCCTTGCCGCTGTGCAGGTGCATTGCAAAGGGATGTGGAGATTCTAAATGTGGATTTTGTCCTCAAATTCTGCTTTTTGTCCTGGCTGAGTCTCAGGGGGGCTCAGGATGAGCAGCTCCCAGTCCATCCCAGGCACATCCAGCCACCCTGGCAAACCTGCATCACAAATCCCAGCTTTTCCCCTGTAATCAGGCTGAGGACCAACTTCAATCTATGAGAAATTTGATATTTTAAGAGAGATTTTAGAACCCGGAACTGTGAACCAACATTTCCCTGTCAGGTGTTCCCAACACTCCCAAAAGCTGTTTCCCTCAGGAAAGGGAAAAATCCCAAGGCAGAAATCAGGGATCTACAGGTGAGGTCCAGAAAGAGGAGGATTATTACAATTTTAGCAAATCAAGAGATACAATTAGGTGGTGCCTGAAGTTAAAAATTGATAAATGCCATACAGGGAGCAGCCACCTCCCTTTAAGCCCCTCTCCAAGGCCTGAAGTTTGGTGATTCTCACAATCCTGATGTTGTCCATGTCCTCTCCACCATGGGAAAACCAAGGAAAAAGGGATTGTCCCACTCCCACCCCACCACTGAGGGACAAAACCAAAGGAATTTATTACAATCTGCTGGGCCTTGGCTCTCCAAATCTCCACGAGCAGCACAAACCCACCCATGATCATCTCTATCCTCATCAACCCAGCCCTGGTGCCATCACTGATACCTTGGAGTGAAGCCACTCATTAAGCTGGAGGAAATTATTTAAATAAAAAAAATTTAAAATAAAAAAAATTAAAACTTAAAAAAACTAAAAAATAATTGAATTTTGGGGCAAATTTAAAACTGAAGGTGTTTTTACATCATTTCTTTAATAAATGAATGTGTGGCAGCATAAAAGGCAGGAGCCACCACCAGCAGCAGCAGGACCATGGTTGGACACTCACACGAAACCCCTCATTCATGGTGCACCATCCCCTGAAATTAATGAGTAATTAATTAATCACTGGACTCACAGAAGCTGCCGTTTCCCCAGTGTTTTGTGGTGGCCTCAAGGACTCATTGGACTCTCCAAGAGGAGCAGGAGGCCTGAGACCAGTTTTAAGAGCAGATTTTGGAGGTTTCTGCTGAGACTGCACCAAGTCCTCATCCCCCAGCTCCAGGACCTGCCTGCTCATCCACACTTTCCCTCAGTAAAGAAAGGACAAGGAGCCACCCCACACCTGGCTGCACTTCCAGTGTCCCGCCATGGCCGTGTCCAACCCAGCTCCACAGAATTCCAGACTGGTTTGGGTGGGAAGGGACCTGAAAGATCTCCTCATTCCACCCCATCTATGGGCAGGGACACCTCCCACTGTCCCAGGTGGATCCAACCTGGCCTTGGGCACTACCAGGGATCCAGGGGCAGCCACAGCAAATCTGGGAATTCCAGCCCAGCCCCTGCCCACCCTCCCAGCCAGCAATTCCTTGCCAAGATCCCAGCCCAATCTCCCCTTTCCCAGTGGGAGCCATTCCCTGGCTCCTGTCCCTGCAGGCCTTGTCCCCAGTCCCTCTGCAGCTCTCCTGGAGTCCCTTCAGGGACTCTGAGAATTCCCTGGAGTTCTCCCTTCTCCAAGGGAACATTCCCAGCTCTCCCAGCCTGGCTCCAGCCCTGCAGCAGCTCCGGGGCCTCCTCTGGGCTCTCTCCAGCAGCTCCCCACCATTCCCATGGGGATTTTTCCCCACCAGCTCCTCAGGAGCACCACAGGATGGGGGAGCCCCTCAGGTCCTGGGGCTCACAGAAGCACAGGAACCAAAATTCCCAACCCCTCTCCTCAGGTCCTTCCCCACAGGGACAAACCCCAGGCCGGGTCTCCATCCCGATTTCACTCATGGCTCTGAGGAGGGTGAAGAACCTGAAACAGCTTCACCACAACCTCTGAAATTTAAAAGTACTTTGGAATCTTTTCCTGAGGAAAAACGTGCTTTCCACAGGCAGGAGAAGGAGAAGTGACCAGAGCTGGGCTGGAGATGGCACAGTAAGGCCCCACAATAACCCGACTCCCATCCTTGTCTGGATTCTCCTCAGCCTCGGAAGGTTTTGGGTGCCACCTCCTCCTTGTTCCAACTCCACAAAGGGAACTGCAGCAGAAGGGAAGGAGCAGCAAATTTGCTCCTTTGAAACCATTCCCAAAAAGAAAATCAGAGAATCCTATTCACATTTTAATAGTTTCCCCAAAATTTATGGCCCAGGGACCTGCCAGTATGACCAAACCCATCCCCTCACGGCGCTGTTCCCTGGCTTCTCTTTCCTGAGCCATTTCTGGCTGCCCCAGGAATCAGGGACTCTCTCACAAGAGGTTCCTCCAACAAAAACCTTGTCCTCCCCACAGCCCCTTTCGTGACCCTACTCCCATTTTTCATCCTCCCAGTTCCATCCCTTTCTCCTAAGTGCATTCCTCCCTCATCTCCCCAGATATTCCCACTGCTGCCATATTACATTCTCCTCA